TTTTTATTATTTATTTATTTATTTTTTTTATTAATTTTTTTTAATGTACACCTTTGTGTCCTGATGCATGCCTTTTGCTGGAAATGTTATTTATTTCCATTGTTTTATTTTAAACGCTTGCTATATAGTTATAAATAGCTTGGTTGACTTGTTTACAGCAACACCCTGGCTATCATAATTTAATGAGTTTAGTCTTCGTAATAGTGTATTTTATTATTTTGTATAATTTCATATTTTATAACATTGTTCACTGCACAATGGTGGACCGGAATATGTAGCAGTAAATGGACAAAAATGAATGAGTAGTTATGCCTCCTAGATTGTAAATGCAATGGAATGGACATTTGTTTTGATGTTAAGATAAATACTTGAGCAGTAAATGGACAAAAATGAATAAGAGTAGTTATGCCTCCTAGATTGTAAATGCAATGGAATGTACATTTGTTTTGATGTTAAGATAAATACTTGACCTGATGTCAAGTGCCCTTGACAATGAAATATGATTAAGAATACAAAAGTGATTTTCTGTTTTGTTGTATTTTGTCAAGGTGCAATAAAATGTCCATTTCAAAAGCATTTTTAATTGAGTTATTTCTTTATTTTTAGTATTATTTCTTGATTTTTTTATGTCAGGCTGTTAAAGAGCACATGGAACATATTTTGCAGGAAGAAATACATTTAAGTGTTAAATTAGTGTATGCCCTTAAAACAGCTATTTGCTTACTGTTTGTAGCACTGCACACTCCATATTAGTGTTTAAAAGTACTGTTAGGGTTTACCGGATGGGCTACATGTGATGAAAAGGCATGGACATTGATCTTTGCAGCTTGACCTCACTGCATATGCATTTGTAGGAATTTCCCTTTATAATTTTAAATGCCACTCTATTTCCATTGTTAAATATTTCCTTCATTTTAATAGAAAACAAATGTCTTTCCCATCTGATATGTGATGGGAAAAGAGAGGAGAATGAGTTCGGAATAAGGCAGATTAGAACTCGGGTCGATCGTATCAAAGGCTGCCATCGATTGATTCGTGGCCTATACTCCAGCTGGGACTTTAGTTTGTTGTATTTTTGTAATGTTGTCTACGCCAACCAGACTTTGGTGGGCGGAGCTAATGTAAATGGCCTCTGCCAATAAGGTGTTAATATGAAATACGTGCAATAATGATTGCAGAAAAAAGTAACAATGTACAGAAATCGATTTTGCTTTTACATTGATTTTATTTTATTGCCAGATCTTACTGTTTATCACTAATACAAAGTTGCACTGTTGTGGGCCAGTGGTTGAATCCGCGGCGAAGGCATCAGAGCTTCTTAGATCGAATCCAACCTCGGAAATAATAGTTTTTTGTTTGTTTAAATGTACTTCTTCTACAAATCACCCCAAAAGAAAGAAAGATGTTTATCCATGATTGTATATCAAGAATACGAACACGTTTGTGTGCATTTTATTTTGTGATTTCACCACAACAAATTCAGGGTCTCTGCTATAGCGTTCCGCGACTGATTGAAGCGTTCCTCTGCTTGAACGAGATTGAGCGTTTCTAAATTTGTGGGCCTTTTCTAACTGCTGGGTGTTTCTAAATCATGCAATGAAAATGATCCCCTTTACCTGACCCCACCCCTAAACCTACCGTCACTATGACGTCAGCCTATCAGGTTACATGGTCTAAAAACACCCCGATCTGGTAAGTCCCATTACTTTCCTGCAGAAACCTATTCTTGGCTTGAACTGTGAAGACTGTGCACGAGCAACGCTGACTGTGGGCTTCATCCACTGATAACGGTGGCAACGAGCACTCAGTATGTTTTCAGAAACAACACATTCCAGCGCCCGATCGCCTCTTTAACAAACAAATTATATGAATGCTCTGCTCTGCTACATAAAATTGTTATTGGGTACATCCGTGCAGCAAAGGTGTTTCTAAAAAGTGGTGGGGACAAAATCGCTCCTTGGCAAAACGTGGTGGGTACGTCTCACCCCGCAAATTACACGTTTTCCAGTAACACATATTCTAATCAGTTAAATAGGTGACAAAATGTAGGCTACATTTGGTGTTAATGTATGTGTTTTTATGGAATTTCTCAGTTCCTATCAAAATGTGATATTACTGTTAAATTCTGTTTTTTTCTCTGTAAAAACACATGTATTTTTTACAGTGTAATCAAACACACCTGAACCAGCTAATCATTGTCTTCAAGACTACTAGAAGGCTACAGGTGAGTCATATCAGGGTTGGATCAAATCTCTGCAGGAAAGTGGCCTGGAAGGGCCAAGTTTGCCCATCAATGCTCTAGGTCAAAGACTTGAGTTAATTTATTAATGAGTAACATCTCTTTTGAGTGAATGTGCACATTTTTAATGTTAACAGTTTTTACCATGTTATTACAACATTGAACCACTTTTTATTAATTTAAAAATTGAGAAATTCTTTCAAATTTAAATATTGTTCAAGAACTACAGCAAAAACCAGTTTGATGCATATTTTTATCAATATTTTAGAAATTGTATTGGAATATTACCAGTACTGACTTTAATGGATTTCATTAAATTCCTTTGAACGCGACTGCTCAAAACGGTCTAAATTTATGAAACCTACACATTAAAAACATGATTACTCTGAACTGTTTAATGTAAATGTTGTGTAATTGGTGAAATGTTAAGTACTGTAAGGTCTTTCATGACACTACATCTGCTGGGGTGTGAATTTGATAGGTGCTTGATATAAAACAAATGGTGCTTTAAAAAGTCCTTGAATCAGGTGTTCATGAAAGAGTGGGAACCCTGATTATCCCTTACTTAACAAATTGTATGATTTCATACGACCCAGCTCATTTAATTTAGCTACTTGGTTAATTTGTATGAATTAGTATGAATTTGCAGTGAGATTTTCACACATTTTATCATTCCTCCTTCACACTTTTGTGAATCCATAAGTCTGTTCTGCTGATGTTGTTCACAAATAGTTTTTCATCAGTTTCAACATTGAAAAGCTTCAAAATGAAATATTACAGCAACATAATGTTATGACTGTTAGAGCAACAAATTTGTGAAAATTACATCAAATAATGACTTACAATTAAATGATCATTTCATGATTTACAAAAACATTTTCGGATGACTTAAACACACTTGTGGATGTTAACACGTCACTTATTAATCATCTACAATTGTTTATTAATGTTTAGGAAATGATTAGTTAAACTTTAACAAAACACTTTTAAATTACTTAGAACTGATTGTTATTATAAGCTACCATATATTTGCTCAGATCAGTCTCTTGTCACTCTTACGACCAAACTTTAAAAACTACTGTAAGGATGAGGTGTCCTTTTTCTCTCCAAACAGGTTTGGCAACCTTGCTGACAAAATGAA